GTCACAGCATAGACCCTGGTGGGTCGCTGCTGTCAGAGTTGAATATGGATAAGGCACGGTGGGACGAGAAGGTGCACATCAGTCTCGCTTCCATCACTGTACGGAAAATCCCTCTCCTTCAGTTTCAAGTTGTGGACATGATTATGGTAAGGAAGCTGCGGTCAGCAGACAAAAGGGAGGCAGTTTTCCAGATAGAGAGGAGAAGACATTCCCAGCTATCTTGTGATTGCACAGAGCTATGGTTTGGTCAGCGGTGGAGCACTCACAGAACAGTGACCTTGTTAGCCCAGTGAGGTCTGCAGTGAGGTCTGGGTCCCAGCGAACTGCAGGAGGAGGAGGGGGAGAGCCACCCCCAGAACTCCCAGGGCACAGCTGGGAAGAGTTTTTCCTCCCTAAACCCTTGGCTCCCCAGTGCCAGCACCCAGGCCTCCTGCTGGTTTTTTTTTTTTTTTTTTTTTTTTTTTTTGCTAGAACAGAGGGCCTGGCACTTTTCTGCCTGGTTTAGGATAGATCAAATGTCACTTCCTTCTCTGAACATGTTCTCCCTCTCAGCTGCCTATTTCTTTTCTCCAAGAACATGCCACTCCCCGCATCACTCATTACTGGTGAAGCAAGGCCAGTAACACAGGGAAGGCCTTTGCTTACAGAGCACCAGGTCAGCTACACACTGTTGGGTCGGATTTGGGACGTTTTCTTTCTAATGGAAATGAGATAACAGAGCTAACATTTTACTTTGATTTATCACTTTTACAAGTAAGGTATTTCCAAGAAGGAAAGCTTAAGATTGATAGTCTAAATGAAATGAAGCCATTGCAAATTAGATGTTAAAGATCACTTAAATTTAGTGCATAATACTAAAAATTTTGTTCCTTAAAAAGGTTCATATTTTGATACACTCTAACTCCATTTTATTTTGCCTTGTATTTTTTTCATAAGTATTTATTGGTGTTGGGGGGGGAATTATCAGAGTAAAAAAGGAGTCGCTTGTGTCCACACCACCTGAAGAACAGGAAACCAGAGGTCACATGCATGACTGCCTGACAGCTCATAGAAGAACAAGTCCAACGTCACTGCAACCCAATATGAAGCGTGTCTGTGGTTAGGGTTAGTACTGTACTGGTCAGTTAGTACAGTTAGCACTGGCTGGTCAGTACTGTGCCGGTGCTGTCCTGTTGCTAATGCTTGTGGCCAAAGGTTAGGGTTTCAAAATGTCTTATGTAACCCTCCTCATTTCTGCCTTTAAAAATGTCCTCAATTTGTTGGAATACATTGATGGTGTAGCGTGATCTGAGTATTTTCATTATAGTGACCTACTTGTGCCAGGTAAATGCCACTTTGAAGCCTGGCTGCCTTATTTAGGTTGATGGGGTAAAAAGGTCATAATTCTGCCTTCTTCGTTGGTATTTAGATTGGCAGCCAGTCTGTCCCTCTCTTAAGCCAGATTCTTTTCCTTCTTCATTTGCCTTTCATCTAAGACTTCCCACTCTTCCTTCATATCCCTGACACTGAATTGTTGAAAGAAACCAAATTGTCTGCTCGATAAATTTTCTGCATATTGGATTTGTTAATTAAAAGTTCATAGTATTGACAGTTTTCCCTCTCACCCCATGCCCCTCCCATAAGTAACTGATCCTAGAGTGGCAGGTTTGGTTAGATTCAGGTGTCTCTTGCTCTCTCGCAGCCTGGGATGTTAAGCAGGTGATGCTCTGGCCATATTCCTATTGTATTCAGCCAGGAAGAACATGCTTGTTGCTTCACTTTTAGTGGCTGTAAGATCAATCGACTCTGTAAACTTCCCCACCATCCTTTCAACACACACCTGTAATAATCACTGCCTAGATCTGTGGCTTCATGGGTTACAAATGATGATTTTCTGATTCTGTCATATTTTCTGTATTTATTAAATGTGATTTTTCTTTTCTTTTAAAAAAATTATTTGAGGGCCCTGCGGCGTGGCCTAGCGGCTAAAGTTCCTTAAAAAGATTCATATGGGCATGCCAGGGATCCAATATGGGCGCTGGTTCTAATCCTGGAAGCTCCACTTCTCATCCAGCTCCCTGCTTCTGGCCTGGGAAAGCAGTGGAGAGCAGCCCAAAGCCTTGGGACCCTGCACCCGCGTGGGAGACTTGGAAGAGGCTCCTGGCTCTTGGCTTTGGGTTGGCTCAGCTCCGTTCATTGCAGCCACTTGGGGAGTGAACCAGCAGATGAAAAATCTTTTTCCCTTTGTTTCTCCTTCTCTCTGTAAATCTGCCTTTCCAGTAAAAATAAATAAGTCTTTTAAAAAAGGATAAATATAGTGTTATAAAAATCTATCTTCCCTTTATTAACTCTACTTATCCTGAAATATGGATTGTATAGGAAAGGTATGGCTTAACTTTATTCTTTTATTAATTTTAGGATGATAACTGCTTCTTCCAAAAATAGCCAAGTTATTTAGTGAAGTTCCAGAGTTTAATATTTCTGATGTGTTTCAGTTTATTTGAATATTCAATATCCAAATTAATTGGAGCAAAGCCAAAGTCCTTCTTTTAAATACCAACTATCAGATTCCTGTCTCCATGACCTCTGGGAGCCCCTGGGGGCTCTTCTGGCTTTCACTCTGTGCTGTCCTGAAGTGTTCAGTTTCCTAGAAAGAAGACTCATCCCCTGTACAAGGCTCCTTCCTGCCCTTCTGCCTGTGCACTTTGGAGCTTGATTACTCTCTAAAGCTGCAAAAACGACCGGCTGTCCCTCATCAAAGGAGTGGGCATTTTACAAAAGCCATTGGATTTGAGGCCCAGAAGTGTTCCCAAGTCACCAGCAGCCCTGCATGGAGATGCTGTGAATACAGCACGGATGATCCTTGAGCAGGAGGGGGTACAGGTGTCCAGGTGTGGACCCAACAGTGTCCTCTGTGTGTGTATGCTTCTCTCTGTCCTGCATCCTCACTTGGGCACGGAACTGAGCAAGTTTAAATGACTACCCGGGGATTTAGGATGGCCACACTGAGAAGTGACCACCCTGATGCCCAAAGGCAGCCATGCATACAGGTGAGTGCAGAGGCTGCTGGTCCACAGCTGGTCATGGACAGCAGGCATAGCAACTAGGATAGGCGCAAGAGGAACGAGCCCAATGGCGGTGTCCAAGGCATGGGCAGAAGTAGACAAGTAGGATCATGACAAGCTAAGAGGCTTTTGCATAGCCAAGGAAATAATAATTAGCAAAGTGAAGAGGCTACTGATGGAATGGGAGGAAATAATTGCAAACTATACATCCAATAAAGGATTAACATTCTGAAGATATAAAAAAGCCAACAATAAAACAACCCAGTTAAGAATTGGGCAAGAGGCTGACACTGTGGCATAGCAGGGTAAGCCAGCAGTTAGAAGTCTGGCTGCTCCACTTTTGCTTTAGATCCTTGCTATCAAATCTGGGAAAGTAGAGGACAGCCTGAAAATGTGGACCCCTGCGCCCACAAGGCACAGCTCCTGGCTCCTGGTTTCGACCTGTTTCAGCCCTGACCATTGCTGCCCTTTGGGGATTATATTGTATCTCTGTTTTGTCCCATTTATTTATAACTGCCTTTCAAAAAAAATGAACAATAGGAAGATTATGGAGCAATAGATGAGCAGGCATTTTTCAAAGGAGGAAGAACAATTGCTCATATTGCAAGCTATCAGGGAACTGCAAATAAAAACCATGAAATATCACCTTAGTGCAACTTACAACAAATTCAAAACCTTAAGTGTTGGCTTTGGGACACTGCATCCACGTGGGAGACCCAGAGGAAGCTCCTGGGTTCGGATCAGTTCAGCACCGGGGGTTGAGGCCAGATGGGGAGTGAATCAGCAGGTGGAAGATCTTCCTCTCTGTATCTCCTCTCCGTATATCTGCCATTCCAATAAAAATAAGTAAATCTTTAAAAAAATTCATTCTAAAATCTCCAAAATAAAATTAGAAACAACAACAAACAACTACCAAGTGTTTTAAATAATGGCTTATTTATTACCAAATTCTTCAAGAATAATGGTAAAATCACTCCTTGTAATGAGAAGGGCAGTGAATTAGGGTCAGGGAAACATTTTGCTTCATCTGTTTTCTTGGCAAATCTTTATAGGCCTGCCATGTTAGAGGTCAGACATGCCTAGGTGAATTCCAGGTCCCTGAAGGCAGAAGGTGCCCCCTTTCCTCAGCTCCTCACCGGGCAGGTGGAGTTCCCCCGGCTTTGTTTTGAAGGTCTAGATTAAAAACCCTCACATACGTTGAGACACACCATACATGAACAGTTACTTCCTTAAGAGGAGACACTGTTTTTTCTTGGAGGTGGCTGTTAAAAGACACGGGAACAAAACAGACGCGCTGACTGTGCTTTTTACGCATTTTTGAAATACGGATAGTCAGAATTGGTGACCGAATTGCAGCAACCAGGACCGGAGGAAGGCTGCGCAGGGCACCAACGCAGGGGCGCACTGCGGTCTGAGACTTCCTCCCCACGGAGGCCGGGAGGGGAGGGCCGGCCGGTGCACGGTGCACCTGCACCTCCACAAACCCTCCGGACTCTCGCGCAGCCACTGCTTCCGGAGCGGGTCGCAGGGTCGGGGCGCGCGGCCGGCAGTGGCTGTGGCGCCGGGCGCGCGGCCGGCAGTGGCTGTGGCGCCGGGCGCGCGGGAGGCGGGGTCGGGGCGCGCGGGAGGCGGGGTCGGGGCGCGCGGGAGGCGGCGGCGGCTGTGAGGCGCTCGGCTGTGGCGCGCTCGGCTGTGGCGCGCTCGGCTGTGGCGCGCTCGGCTGTGGCGCGCTCGGCTGTGGCGCGCTCGGCTGTGGCGCGCTCGGCTGTGGCGCGCTCGGCTGTGGCGCGCGGCCGTTTTGCTTGCCACGAGGTGGCCTCGCTGCACCGGGGCCGCTGGGTGAGGCGCGGTTCTTGTGAGGGACTCACAGTCCTCATTATTTTGAACTGACGGTCTCTCAGCCCTCAAAGCGTCCTGGAAAAGGAGGGTAACGGAGACTCGGGGCGTGAGGCCACGATGGAGGAGGGCGCGCAGGCCCTGGAGTGGGACAGTGACGAGACCGTGGTGGGGGGGTCGATGACGGAGAGCGAGCCCGAGGAAGAGGAGCTGCCCTGGAGAAGGTGACGCCCCGAGTGCACGGCGCCAGGCGGAGCGCCCTCCGGGACGGGTTCGAGGCCCGCACGCGGCTGTTCTGATTCCTTCAGCGGAGTCAGGCTGAAGGGCTTGTTGGGTTTGGGATTGAAGTAGTTGGACACCGAGGTGGTGAGACCAGCGTGAGCTATCTTAGCTGTGGAAATGAGAGGATAGCTGTGAGGGTGGTGTCGGGGTCCCGTTTCTGTCACGTGTAGGGGAGGCGGTGGCTGCCTGGCAGCTGCATGGAGTCCTCAGGCCCCGTGTCAGGACCCCGAGAGGATCGCCACCCTAGATGTCCCGAGCAGCCCTCTCCGACCCCCTCCCCCGCGTTTATGTTCTTGCACAGCGAAGTTTTGGTTCTCTCTGCTGTCAACATTTTGTTTTCTTTGATTCTCGACAGTTTATAGTAAGTTTGGGTATGATTCTCAGTGTTTTTCTTGTTTTGGGTTTGATTGAGCTTCTTGAATCTGTAGATTCATATCTTTCAATCAAGTTTAGGATTTTTTTTCTGTCATGAATCCTTCAAAAACAGTTTTTTCTGAACCAATTTCTTTAACCTCCCTTCTCATTCTTCTGTGGCATGAAGATTAGAACTCCTGCAGGTGTGCCCCAGGTCTTGCGTGTGATCGCTAGCTAACTGTTGTGTAACATGATGCCCTGCACCCCAGGTTCACTGGTCATCTCGGTTCTGTTCTTGAGCCTAGTTGATATATTTTTTATAGTTTTGGATATTTTCTTCTAAAATCTATATTTGGTTCTTTTTGTTGCTTCTGATTTATGTGAGAGCTTCAGTCTCTATCTTTTTTTTTAATATTTTGATTTATTTGAAAGGTAGATGATGTAGAGAAATACTGAGAAAGAAATGTGGTTCACTCTCCAGGTGACTGCAGCAGCCAGAGCTGATTGGGCTGAAAACAGGAGCTTCAGAAATGTATTCAAAATGTGCCCCCCCCTTTTTTTTAATAAATTTCACTTTTTTGAAAATAGTCAAGAGAAACACATAGGCATTGATCTTACCTTTCCTAGGCAGATTGAGTTACATGCTCAGTACTGTGGCTTAACTAAGGATGGTTTAATTGGTGAGAAGCAGTTTCTTTTAAAAATATTTGTTTCCAATAACAAACTAAGGAAGCATGGTAGATTAGAATGTCAGTCTTTTGTATGAAATTATGATTGGACGTGCACAGTGGTCCTGCATGGTCACTCATATCACAAAAGGAGTGACACCCACTTTTATCCTGTGTTAGTGCACACACGTTCACAAAAGTGAACTTTAATTAGATCAAACTTCTGAAGCTAATGGCCATTTTACAGATAATGTATAGGACGGAAGAACATGTTAAGCGACATGCAATCAATAAGCAAAAATGCGAGATTGTATGGGAAGAACAACTTGATCTTTTCAGCAAGTTTTGAGGGGGTAAAAGGAAGGACCAGGTGTACATGTAGGGCCAGCCTGTGCTGTAGCCCTCTGGACACCCACACCTCCAGTCCTGCCTCTGTTTTTAAGGTGTCCCTTGCAGGCAGCAGGTGAATGTACCAGTGTGTGTTGTTGCCCCCCACATGGGAAATGTGGGTTGAATTTTGGGCTCCTGGCTTCAGCCTGGCCCAATCCCAGCTATTGTAGGCATGTGGGGTGTGAGCCAGCAAATGCAAGGTCTCTTCATGTCTGTCTGTTTGTCTTTTAAATAAAAGAAATAGTCTTGCTAGACATAGCAGCCAATGTAGTATGTCCACCTTGGCACAGTTAGACAGTGATAATTAGGGACATGTGATTACTGAATAGTGGTTTCCTATTACTGTGTAATACTTTAAGACTCAATGTCTTAAAGCAGTGAATATTTGTTATCTTAAAGCTCCTGTCTTTGGGAATCCAGGTGTGACCTACCCAGGACATCTGGCTCACAGTATTTTACAAGGCTGGATTTCAGTGTCAAGCAGGGCTGCACTCATTTCGGGACTGCAGTGGGAAGGATGTTCTGTTCAAAGGGAGTTCTTATGTTTCTCAATCAAAAATGAATTATTTCCACATAAGATGAATTAAAATGTTATGAATTATTTTCAGAATAATAACCCTAATCCCTTGGGAGGCCTGTGGGGTGAAGAGGAATAGTGGTGGCGAGGGAGGGGAAGTTATAGAGGAAGTGACACTTACGTGAACTATTGTTTGAAGCTGGGTGACTGATAAATTACTTTTTGTTGGTTGCTATGTGAAGTTGGATCATGAAAAAATAATGATAGTAACAACAGAAAGAAATATGTAATACCAAACATCTTCACACCTTAGTAATGTGATGCATGGTTGAATTTTTGGATTCTAGCAAGATTTTTTTTTTAAAAGATTTATTTTTTATTATTTTTTTTTTATTGGAAAGGCAGATATACAGAGAGGAGAGACAGAGAGGAAGATCTTCCATCCGATGATTCACTCCCCAAATGAGTGCAACGGCCGATGCTATGCCGATCCGAAGCCAGGAGCCTCTTCCGGATCTCCCACGTGGGTGCAGGGTCCCAAAGCTTTGGGCCGTCCTCGACTGCCTTCCCAGGCCACAGGCAGGGAGCTGGAAGGGAAGCGGGGCTGCCAGGATTAGAACTGGCGCCCATATGGGATCCTGGGCATGCAAGGTGAGGACCCTAACCACTTGCGCCACTGCGCCACCGCGCCGGGCCCAGATTTTTTTTTTTTTTTAAAGATTTGTTTATTTTGATTGGAAAGTCAGATGCATGGAGAGGAGGAGAGACAGAGAGGAAGATCTTCCGTCAATGGTTCATTACCCAAGTGACCGCAGCGGCTGGAGCTGAGCCAATCCGAAGCCAGGAGTCAGGAGCCTCTTCCTGGTCTCCCACACGGGTGCAGGGTCCCAAGGCTTTGGGCCGTCCTTGACTGCTTTCCCAGGCCACAAGCAGGGAGCTGGATGAGAAGCAGGGCTGCCAGGATTAGAACCGGTGCCCATATGGGATCCCGGGCGTGCAAGGCGAGGACTTAACCACTACACTATCACGCTGGGCCTGGATTCTAGGAAGATGTTTCAAGAAATGTTTTATCCTGGGAAAATATTTTTTAAAATCACCATCTTAGACATTTTTAAAGGTACAACACCATGGTGTCTGCAGCAACCTCCTTGGGCTAGTTGGAGAACCTTTTCACGCCCTCTCACTGCCTGTGGCAGCCAGCCTTCTGCTTTCTGGCTCGGAGTTTGTCCAAGTGCTTCATGTAATTGGAATCATTCAGCTTTTGTCTGCTGCTGTCTGGCTTATTTCATTGAACACAGTGTCTTCATGTTTCCTCTACAGTATAGCCATGTGTCAGTGTTTCCTCATAAGACAAAATGCTATTTCATCGTGAGTCTGTGCTGTTTTGTCTCTTCCTTCATTGATGGGCATGTGGTGTGTTTCTGTCCTGTGGTTGCAGTGAATGATGCTTCTGTAGGCCTGAACATACAAAGGTCTGCTGCTTTCCTACTTTTAGTTCTTTGCTGCATTAATCTGGAGGTGGAATTGCAAGATCGAGTGATGTTCATGTTGCAGGTTTTGATGAACCAGCGTCCTGTTTTTCGTAGTGGCTGCATCCCTTCATATTGTGCTAGCATGCACACAGCTTCCGGTTTGTCTACATCCTTGTCAGCACTTGGGATTCTGTGTGCACGTGTGTGTGTGTGTGTGTGTGTGTGTGTGTGTTTAAATTCCTTTTTTAAGCAGGGATTCTGATGATCATGACGTGGTATCTCACTGTCGTTCTGTTCTTCATTCCCCTAATCATTGAGTCATTGGTGGCGTCCAGAGATGTCTAAGTTCTTTGCCTGCCTTTGAATTGGGAAAGTTTAAAAGAGATGCTGAGTCTTAACAAAAATTAATAGAAAAAGCATTTAATGAAAAATCTGTGTCTAGCTTGGGAAAACTTTTTGCACCCAGATAGCCTTTAGTTGTATTTGTCATGAGTGTGAAGACTTCTTGTCGTGACAGTGCCGTTTGTTCCTTCTCTGTTCCTCAACACTTGGATTGTCTCAAGGCCGAGGAGGATCTGTTTCTCGCTGTCATCTTCATATTGTGTTGTTGCCATGAACAGACTCAGAGCCATAAGTAGATTCTGTTACTGTATATTATGAAATATACTCAGATTTATTTTATGTTTTTATTTATTTACTTGTTGAGAGCAGCAAATAGAGGTAAAGAGAGTTCCCAAGCACAGGTTCACTCTCCAGATGCCTGCGATGCCTGGTTCCCATGGAAGGTGGGAGTTGGGAGCTCAGTCCAGACTCCCTGTGCTCGAGCTGCCTCCCGTGCCTCCTGGGGTGTACAGTGGAAACAAGCTGGGATAGGGAGTGGAGCAGGTCTTGGGCCTAAACACAATGACACAGGGTGCAGTATCCCAGATCGCTATGTCATGCACCTGCCACCATATGATTAGATTTAACTTTGGGATTTTTTATTCTTAAAGATTCATTTATTTATTTGAAAGGCGGACTAACAGAAAAGAAAAGAAGGAGATGAGAGAGAGAGAGAGATCGATCTTTGTCTGCTGGTTCTCCCATCAAGTGGCCTGAAGTCTGGAGCCTGGTGCTCCAACTGGGTATTCCACGTGGGTGGGTGGCAGGGACATAAATACTGGGGTCACACTCTTCCAGAACAGAGCAGCTGCTGGAATCTTAAGAAGTAGCTTAACCTGTTGAGCCACAGTGTAGCTCCTAACTTGAAATTTTTTAAATCTCAAAATCTCTGTGCTTAGAGAAATGTGAAGAGAAAAATCCACCAGCACCCATCCCTCAAATGATCTCCTCATTTTATTTCTCTCAAAAAATATTTGTCCTGGGCCCAGTGCGATAGTGTAGTGGTTAAAGTCCTTGCCTTGCATGCGCTGGGATCCTGTGTTGGCGTGAGTTCTGGTCCCGGCAGCCCCGCTTCTCGTCCGGCTCCTTGCTTATGGTCTGGGAAGGCAGTTGAGGAGGGCCCTGAGGCCTTGGGACCCTGCACCCCCGTGGGAGACCCGGAAGAACTCCTGGCTCCTGACTTCAGATTGGTTCAGCTCCAGCCGTTGTGGCCGCTTTGGGAGTGAACCATTGATGGAAGATTTTCCTCTCTGTCTCTCCTCCTCTCTGTATATCTGCCTTTATAATACAGATGAATAAATCTTAAAAAAAATTACCCATTACCTTTGTATGCCAGAAAGTAATCATATAATATTTGTAAAAGTTGAATATGACCATATGAACATTTTCCATCTTGGCTAAGTTCTTCATTGAAGTGTGTATTTTTTTTTTTTAAAGATTTTTATTGGAAAGGCAGATATACAGAGAGAGAAGAAACAGAGGAAGATCTTCTGTCCAATGATTCACTCCCTAAGTGGCAGCAATAGCTGGAGCTGAGCCAATTCAAAGCCAGGAGACTCTTCTGGGTCTCCCACATTGGTGCAGGTTCCCAAGGCTTTGGGCCGTCCTCCACTGCTTTCCCAGGACACAAGGAGGGAGCTGGATGGGAAGCAGGGCAGCTGGGATTAGAACCGGCGCCCATATGGGATCCTGGTGTATTCAAGGCGAGGACTTTAACCCGCTACACTATCGAGCCGGGCCCTAAAGTGTGTATTTTTAAAGTAATGTTTTGAAATAGAAATACTAGTAATAGTGCAGCTAAAATTTTTAGCGAGTTTAGATGTACTAAAAGGTAAAAATGTTAATTGATGCTTGTGCCGTGTGTTGGCTCAATGCCCCAGGTTTGGTGTTCCTTTCTGCCCCTGGCTGCGGCAGCTAATGCAGACCTTGGGGTCTGTGGCGACAACGCAAGTGATTGGGCTCCTGCTATGCTTGGGAGTCCTAGGTTGAGTCCTGGCTCTTGGCGTCAGCTGGCTCAGTCCTGCTGTTGCATTTGGAGAATGAACCTGTAGTTGAGAGCTCTGTCTCTGTTTCTTTGCTGATCAAATCAGATCAAATAGAAAGTTAATATTTGTTTAGGAAACATAATTAAAAAAAATTTTTTTTATTTGCAAGGTTGCTCTGTGGTGAAGACACGTCACGTAGAGGTGAGTGCAGCCCACCCTCCTCTAAGAGTGGTATATGGAGGTGAGGATTATTCTTTTCACAAGGTAGCTCCTTTAGCTTCCCAGGTGCCAAGAGTGTATTAAGCGGATGGTATTTGGAGATGGGGCTGGGGTGATTATTTTGGCGTGGAGTCTGTCATTGAATCCTGGTGATTTGGTAGTGTTGGAGAAGCCACACAGACACAGGCCAAGGTGAGTGCTCCTTGTTTGCCGTGTCATACTCCAGGCTACCTCAGGACTCGGATAGCAAGAAGGCTATTACCAGATAAGGCCTCTAGAACCCTAAGCCATGGCATCAGCATGCCGCAGGAGATTTAGTGCAGTAATCGAAGCTGTTTAATATGCCATGCACACGGGATATTCAAAAGGCTCATGGAAAATAAGTGTTATGAAAAGACTACATGTTTTTTTTATTTTTGTTGTAACGGAATTACTCTTTTAGTTCTATTATTAATGAACTTTCCAAAATACTTTTTTTTTAGTTTATCTTTTTCTTTTTTTTTTAAAGATTTATTTTATTTTTATTGGAAAATCAGAGATACAGAGAGGAGGAGAGACAGAAAGATCTTCCATCTGCTGGTTCACTCCCCCAAGTGGCCACAATGGCCAGTGCTATGCCAATCCAAAGCCAGGATCCAGGAACTTCTTCCAGGTCTACCACACGGGCGCAGAGTCCCAAGGCTTTGGGCCGTCCTCCACTGGTTTCCCAGGCCACAAGCAGGGAGCTGGATGGGAAGTGGAGCTTCCAGGATTAGAACAGGTGTGCATATGGGATCCCAGCACATTCAAGGCGAGGACTCCAGCCACTAGGCTGTGCCACCAGGCCCAAGTTTATTTTTATTGAAAGGCATATTTTACAGAGAGAAGGAGAGACAGAAAGATCATCCATCTATTGGTTTATTCCCCAGATGGCTTAAATGGCTGATCTGAAGCCAAGAGCCAGGAGCTTCTTCTGGGTCTCCCTTGCAGGTGCAGGGTCCCAAGGCTTTGGGCTGTCTACAATTCCTTTCCCAAACCACAAATAGGGAGCTAGATGGGAAATGGAGCAGCTGGGACCCAAGTTGGCACCCATATGGGATCCTGGCATTTGCAAGGGGAGGAATAGCCAGTGAGCAATCCGGCCGTGCCCAGCATGTCTATCCTTAAAAGTGTCTGTCAGACACCAGTTCTCAGTTCCCCAAGATCCACTGTGCCCCAGGAGCTGTAGGAATGCTGGTTTATTTCCTTTACAACTTTCCCCCGACTTTGGAGGGTATCTGGAGACAGATGTTAAGGAGAAGAAGATCTGTAATACATACATTGCTGTTCTGTAGCCCACAGCATGCTCTCATCGGACTCTTCAATGGAAAGCTGCAGTACAGTAGGGATTGTTTTTTCCTACTTGTAATTGGGAGCAAGAATGTGCAGTATTTGTCCTGAGTGCCTTCTTAGGATATGTGAAGTGTTAGCAGAAAAGAGAGGTCTGTTTTAATATTTCAGCCAGATTTTTTTTCTTTCTTTTCCGAATGGATAGGCTTTTGTTTTATTTTCTTATTACTAAAAATGTAAAATCCTACAGTGGGCATTTGGCAGTGCAGTGAAGTTGCGTCTCCTGTCAGAGTGCCTGGTTGGAGTCCTGCCTGCTCTGCTTTCGATCCAGCCTTCCTGGGAAGGGGCAGGAGATGGAGCAAGGGACACCTAGAGGACACCCAGGTGTTTTGTCTTTTGCATAATTCTCTAGGAACCTATAAGGTGAGGAAAGTTAATTATGGACCTAATTTGCCATTTTGGAAAGAAAACTGACATTTTTGGGATTGTACAGCAGCATTATGAATTCTTATCATGACCTAAAATCCAGTTTACTATATGTGCTTCCTAGACAAGCACAAAAAAAACAAATAGTCTTTCTTGTGTTGTTTAAGACTGTATACCTTTAAGTACATGTTCTTTGCATTCTTTCATTCTGAGATAAAAGAGCTATTGGGCATTATTTTATTCAACGTGGCATACATGTTTCCTCCTGATTTGTAATTTTAAAACATTGAGACATAAAATAGTAATTAAGAAATTAGGATCTGCAAAATAGCTTTTCATGACATCTTGTGCTTGTGAAATTCTTGAGTTGTTGCAAAGCCCAGCAGTAAAACCGTTGCAGAGGACTTAACGATCATATTTCCTCTTAGGTCTGCTCTCTCCTGAGATTCCCCTTGGGTTCAAACACTGCAAGGATCCACAGACACAAGTGAATGAAAGCATGCTGATGCCCGTTCCTGGAGCGGGTATACCCTCACAGGTGTGGAGCGTGTTGACTGAGTACAGTTATTACCAACTGCAGGTGTTGTCTTTCAAAGGAGGACATTCCTGATCACTGTCTATATTATTTTGCTTCTTTATCATTGTATGTTCAGTGTTTTTATCTGTTCTTAAGTAGTCATTCAGTTTCTTTGTTGCAGTTTGGTGAAAACTGGTCATTTTGGTGGAGGGAGAGTTGATTGTAAAGTATTTCCTTTTGTCTTTAACTATTTTATGGTTTTATTTTTCTGACAGAAATGGCAGTGAAAAGAACAGAGATTAAAATAGGATATAATAACTCCAATTTTGCATGTCCATCTTATATCAGAAATCATCTTAAATTGGTAACAAAGGTACTCTCTGTGGTATAATTTGAAATGAACTACTGAAGACCCTTGGATTTTCTCTGTGCATGCACATTGTAGGCACATAGTTTAAAAATCCTTAATTATTAATAATTCTTATGAGGCCTTTTGATGCAAACACCACAGGGAGAACTTTATTGGGTTTGATTCAGTGGCTACCTTCACATGGACACGTTGGCTAATCAGAAAGGCCTACCTTAGGGAGTGGAAGGGATATATAGATAGGTAAGCATGTGGATAGGTAGACTGTTTATTCATTCATCCATTTATTTACTTATTTGCTTATGTATGTATTATTTGAAAGGCAGAGAGTGAAAGATCTTCCATCCACTGGATTACTTCCTGAATGGCCACAGTGGCCAAGACTGGACCAAGCTGAAATTAGGAGCCTAGAATCCATCTGGGTCTCTCATGTGGGTAGCAGAGACACAAGCATTTTAGTCTTTTTTTTTTTTAATATACATTTTTTGAGATCTATTTGTTTTTAATTGGAAAGTCAGATTTACAGAGAGAAGGAGAGACTGAAAGGTGGTCTTCCATCTGCTGGTTCACTCCTCAAGTGGCCACAATGGCTAGAGCTGAGCCAATCAGGACCCAGGTCTCTCATGTGGGTGCAGGATCTCAAGGTTTTGGGCCATCCTCAACTGCTTTTCCAGGCCACAAGCAGGGAGCTGGATGGGAAGTGGAGCAGCCGGCACACGACCTGGCACCCATATGGGATCCTGGCACATGCTAGGCAAGGACTTTAGCCACTAGGCTACTGTGCTGCACTCGATTCATGAATCCTGTAATAGTTACATTCTCTCCTACTATTGCCTGAGAGGTATATTGCTGGGCCACACTAACACAAGATGACTTCAAAACCCTGACCTTCGGCTCCCATGAGATGATCAGTAATGAATGGAGTTAATCAGTGTCCTTCACAGTCCTGGCACCAGCAGGCCTGAAAACTCTTTGTTGCCTGCTGTCAGGCTGGTACACACTCCTCTGCTGCCCCTTGCTGTTACCTGCAGACATCTGTGAGAAGCCCAAGACAGCAGAGGGTGCACCTCTTAGCTGTATCTCTTCAGGTGCCACCAGCACACAGCTGTGTTTCGTGTGTACCTTCACCTGGCACTGTGAAATCAACAGTGTGTGCATTCCCGGAAGGTTCTAGTGTTGTTCTTCGGCCTGTCCTAACTTGAACCAGGCCTCTTTGGAGCTGAGCTCCTGTCCTTTTTTGGATTCTTCAATTCCTCTGTTCCAGTTAACTCTTAGGATCCTGGAATTGCTGTCTTTGCCTGAAGTTAAAGAGTCTTAAAAAAATATTGTGGCTGTAGGGCAACAAGAGCAGGGTTCTGGGTCAGGATTTATTTTGTTTATCTGAGAGGCAAAGTTCCAGAGGGAGGGAAAGAGGAAGAGAGAAAGATAAAGTGAGAGAAGTGCAACCTATCTTCCATCTGCATGTTCATTCCCTAAATGGGCCAGACTGAAGCCAGGAGCAGGCACTCATCCAGGGCACCCACATGGGTGGTGGGGGAACAAGCGCTTGTGCCATTTTCTGCTGCTTTCCCAGGTGGAACAACCAGGAGGATTCTAAACTGGTACTCATATGGGGTGCTGGTATTGAAGATGGCTGCTTAATGTGCTGTGCCACAACGCTGGCCCCAGACAGCTTTTAAATGGTCAAACCACTTTCTGATTGGCTTGTACTTAAAGACTAGTGATTGGAATTTCAGAATTTAAGCATTTAAGAATACTAAAATCATGAACATGTGGAACCATTTATACAGATAAAACATGTAAAATGTAATCATGTGGTAATACTGGAATGAATTGCTTTGGGAGGTCCCAGAAATATCTAGGAAGTATGTAAATTATTCTGTTGAATTAATCCTTGGAGGTTCCTCAGTATGCCTCCTTAGGAGGCCTGTCTCCTGACAGGCCGCCTGAGCTCTGCCAGCCTGGAAGCCCCTCAGTGTGCTTTTTTCCCAGGAGGCCTCTCTCCTGACAGGCCCCTGTACTCTGCGGCCTGGAAGCCCTCGGTCCGCCTCCTGAGATTCTTTCCCTGTCTGGACCTCTGACCTTTGTCAGTCTCGGGAAATGGACACATGGGTGACTGATGGGATTACTGTATCGGGATGTGTTGTCTGTAAATGATATTGACCATTAATTGCGGAAGACTGAAATTCTCAAAGTGTATTATTTTCTTTGTTGTGTAAAAGTTAAGGGAAATTAGTTTTATATGTTTAAATATTTATTTTATTTATTTGAAAGGCAGAATTGCACAGAGAGAGGGAGAAACAGAGAAAGAGAGAGCTCTTTCATCCACAAGTTTACTCCCCAAATAACTGCAGGGGGACAGAGCTAGTCCCGAACCCAGGAACTTCATCCATCCCTCACATGGATAAGGAGCCCAAGCATTTGGGTCATCTTCCTCTGCTTTCCCAGGCACATCGGAAGGGCGCTAGATCAGAAGTGGAGATGTAGGACTTGAACAGTGCCCATATGGGATGCTGATGTCACACATGGAGACCTTACCTGTTATGCCACAATGCCAGCACTTAACAGATTTAAAAAACTTTAATGTGGATCATAGAAACAGAGGATACCCAAAGAGAGCTCTTTTTCCAAATATTTTTGATATTGACAACATATTTAAAGCAAGGATTTATTTTCATGTGATGAAAATCAATATGCTGTGACATCTTAAAATGGAATCATTTTAACAGTATATTTCACCTTAAAAAAAAGAGCATAACTTCAGATTTTGTAGTATGACTTGGTTTAGGCAGGATCAGTTTGACAACTAATGCTGTGACAGAGTTGCATAGTTCCTGGTTCCCAGGGGTAAAAATTTCAGTCCAGAATCTGGTAGGAATAGACCTTCATCAACTTCATGTATTAATAAAAAGGGAAAAAGTCGAAATTGAAAATAAGGGACACTTTGGCTTCTGTTCACTTAAATCGTACAAATTTCTTAAGAGGCAAAAGTTAAGACAGAGAAAAGAGAGACAACCCTACAGAAGTCTCAGAAGATTTGGGGGAAAGGTATCATGATACTGGATTTGACAGTCATATCTTAGAAATAATGTATACTAGATTTAATGGCAGTTGAACTCATATGTGCCAAAGAGCACTGTCAGAAGAACGGAAAGGCAACCCATGGGACAGGAAAAGCTGCTTGCGGATCATGTCTGGTAAAGGATTGATGCCCAGAATATATAGAGGGTAGCAAGTAAAAATGTGCAGGGTAGACATTGTAATGTAACAGGGTGAGCCACTACCTGGCACTGCTGCATCCCCTGTTGCTTTTGAACTTTGCCTGTTTCTGATCTAGCTTCCTGCTAACGTGAGAGGCAGCCGGTGATGGCTCAAGACCTGGGGTCCCTCCCATGTGGGGGACCTGGATCAAGACTGTGATTCCTGGTTTTTGCCTTGCTCAGCCCTGGCGCTTGGAGGCATTGAAGGAATGAAGCACTGGATGGAAGATTTTTCTCCCTCTTACTTCCTCTTTCTTGGTTTCTTTTACTCTGCTTTTCAAATAAATAAACTTAAAATCAGCAAAGGATTTCAATATGTATTTCACCAAAGAAGATAATATGAATGACTCAGTGCATTTGACTCTTCCAAGTGTTGGTAAGGATGTGAAGAATCCTGTGCACTGCAGTGGGCTGTGAGATAGTCTGCTTCTGTGGAAGATGATGTGGTTGATGCCTAGAAAATATTCAACAATTGTCACGTGACCCAGCAGTTCCACTTCTGCATGTGTTCCCCAAATAGTGAAGGCAGGGGCCTGAAGAGTTGTTTCTGCAGTTGTGTTCACAGCAGCATTTTTTTCCCTAGCCATCAAAGATGGAAGCCAGGCAAGTATCCGTAGCAGATGAGTGCACAAGTGAACCATGGTGCAGGTATACAATGGAATCCTGTTGAGCCTTGAAAAGGAAGCAGGGGCAGGGAGGACAGGGGCAGGAAAGGAGGGGGGCTAGAAGGAGAGGGTCAGGGAAGATAGGGGCGAGGAGGAGAGCGGAAGTCAGTGTTAGTGGGTTTGGAGTGTCAGTTCAAGCAGGTGAACATTTAGAGATGACTGCAGGTGACAGTTGTGCAACTCTGCCAATGTGCTTGATGCCCTAGAACAACATTTAGGGTGGTGAATTTATCACCATAATGAAAAGAAGCTAAGAAGACATTACACAGAATTCTTTCGTTAGTGTTTATCCTGCTGCATTGATAAGTATACAAGTTGGTTAAAGTACTGTTCTGTTCTCCAGCAACCTCCAGGTGGAACAGCATGGACTCAGCCTTTATTTCAGTAAGTCCTCTCATTTTCAGCTTCATGATATTCAGGTTTAGTTTATTTGTTGTTTTGTATGTGTAGGAATCACTTTTACTTTATTTTAAAGTTACTGCATGTTTTGGGGTAATTTTCTTTTAGTGGCACAAACATGTTATTTTACAGATGTTTTAGAAATGCTTCATTTCAGACAAAGGGATCTCAGATTAAGGTAAATTGACTATTAATATTGTTTTAAAAGCAAACTTACAGGATAGAACAAAGATTTTTTTTAAAGATTTATTTTATTTTTATTGGACAGTCAGATGCAGAGAGAAGAGGACAGAGAGGAAGATCTTCCATCCGATGA